CAGATAGCCCATTGTGTAGCTTTGTGCTTAATTACAAACAAACTTAAAAAGATAGTATCAATTCTTCACTTACAGAATAATATTTCATTGTTAGAACATGCTGCAATAATATCGCGTGTCAAGTGAACAAGTCTGTAATTACCATACTGAAAGGTTTACAAAAACGCGTTCCGTGTGTTTGAAGATGAAAAAACGATAACAAAAGTTTAACGACCAGCTCGAAAACTACTGTTTTTAAAAGACTATCTTTTAGTCGAGTTAGCCAACGTAGACTCCAAGACTAAGTATAATAATCAACATCCATCAGTATGGCACAAGTTGAACTCAAAAGTTATTGTTTCGGTAATAGAGAAAACTCAAATAAGCTCTTTTGCGTAGAGAATTCGAAATACGGAAATCTTCTGACAGATCTATATCAATATAATAAGTCTCAACAAATCTATAAAAACCACAAAGCTCTACTGCATTACTACTGTTTTGATGCAGCATCAATAGACTACTGAGAGATTGCTTACAAGAAATGGGCTATTTGAAATATTATTTTGTTTTTGCACGCTGTAGCTTTAGAAAAGCTACAAAGAGGGTATTACTGTCCGACTGTCTGGAATTAGATATTCTTCCCTAAAATATGCTTCCAAATTTAAATTATTCACACAAAAAGTCACAAACAGAGCTATCATAATAAATACTCGTGTAAATGAAAAGGGAAGCCGCATAAAAATGTTTTCAATCCTTTTTTTACCAAAACTGCAAAAAGTATTCATATAATCTGAAATCCATTTCACTACTGGTTAGCGCCACATGATATGGAACTGTGGTTGCATGGTTTGTGTCCCGTTACCGCCAAAAAATAATAATAAATCGCGCTCCGCACTTTAAGGTCGTGGGTGTGTTAGTAGGAGTGATGGTCAGGTACCATTATTCGGTCTGATAAAAGTATCCAAAGAGTTGGCGGTGGGTGGTGTTGACTAGTTGCCTTCCCTCTAGTCTAGCACTTCAAAATTAGGGACGACTAGCGCACGCAGCCCTCGTGTAACTTTATGCGAAATCCAATAAACAAACAAAATCTCACCATTAAACAAGTGTCCAGTTCCTCAATTTCTTCAACATCAGAATCGTCAGTTAATCGAGCCGCCCGGCTCCACACGTTCTGTCGAGAGTCCCCTAAACTCCACAGGCAGCCCGATACAGGAGCAGCCTTTTGCGGTGTTTGGGCTCGTACTGTCCGCTGTGGACGTCTCTTAGCAGACCGCGTTCTAGCCAGTATTGGTTTCAACGGTATCGGTGAGACTTCTCCCACAGCCATCTCTGAAGATGAAGAGTAAAGAAGTAAAAAAAAAAAGTTATCTAAAAGGCAAAAACCAAACTCTCTTAACTCGTAACAATTTATTTGAATTGCAGGAAAACAATGTATAAAGCTTTTACTTGTTGTTAAACAAATGTTTAAACAACTCTATTCAATAATGTCTAAATAAGTATGACAGTCTGAGCTTATTGTTCTTTTATAAATTTATTTCTATAAGTTTGACCCCCTTCAAAACATGATATTACTCATAAGCTTTTTGTTCACTATTCCCACTCACTGACTTTCGTTCTTCGTGATCATTCCAATTTTCTGCAGCTCCGTGTATCATTCCAATTTTCTCTAACTCCGTGTATCATGGAAAAGTGGATTTCTGCTATTAGCTAACATCTTACTGTAGTTGTATCAGTCTGTACGTTCGGGATATACGTTCAGTATATATTTTTATTCACAGTGCACGTGATAACACGTGCCGCTTTAGCCTGAATATGTCTGTTTCCAGAATAGAAACAGCTATTAGTGAAATGAGTTGCTATGTATGTTGAAGATATCAATATTCTTCAACTCAGATTTTCAGTAAATACGGTGTCACGTTTGTCTGCCAATTTTTAAGAAACGTCTTGTCTAGAATAATTTACAGAGGTGTCATAGAGAAACGTCCAATAGTTTCACGGTTGTTCTGAATTCGTGATAATACGTGCTGCACAATACTGATTTTTTTACACAAAAACGAAGCTATCTCGTAGAAGCGACAGAAAAAGAAAACTAAGCGTTATTATCTATCGTCATAAGATCCTGGAATAGAATATCCGTTACGATCTACATGTTGTTAGCACTCTATATACGTAAATTATGGGAAGAATTACGTATCCGTCAACCGTCTGACTCACCTTTTATACCCCTCTTCTTCATTTTCTGTCTGATTGCAGAGAGCATTTGTAGCTTATTTTTCAGTCTGCGAAAAGGCAGTCACTGGCGTTAATAGTTGTTGGGGAAAAAGCTGAACCATGTGGTTCTAAGAACAAAAAATGGGGAAATGTCTATTTACGCCACAGCTCCTGAAATTAGAATAATCAAAGTAAAACATTCAGCGAAAGCAGAAGTTGATGAGGTTACATAACAGCAAATGGAAAAATCAACAATAAGCTTCCGTAGATTTAAATATTATGCAATCAACATTGTTAAGATGACAAGCAAATAATTTGTTCATTTATTCGTAAATCAAACTTGATGTGGGCGTTCACATCATTAGGCTCCAAATAATGTCATGTCAAATATGTCAACTTTTTTCTTCAGCCTTTCCTAATAGAAAATAATGTTTTCAAATAGTGCATTCCCAATGATTTTAAACCAATGATCTAAATGAGATTTACTGTACACAATTTAAGGCCGTAACTTACACCTACAAACCTGATCTTCATCCATTTTACAGACAAAGTATGCTTATACGACTTCGTGTGTTAAATAGCCAAGCCTTTGCTGTCTGTAATTACTGCAGGAACTGGCTAAAGAACACCTATATTCATCACCCAACCAACATCCACGGAGGTAACAGTTATTAAAAGCAGAAAATTTTCTTGTGTGATTTGGTAAACATACACTTATAAATTTCATAGCCTAACCAGCTACGTTATCACCATAATTATTTTCTTATGATATTATAAGACATTGCTGTTATGAATAGAGAGAGTTTATCGTACATTCTAAGAACGCTTTGCATGCGACTAATGAGGGCCGTGCGCCATGGATGACATGTTTCGTACCCATATAATTGATTTAAGGTGAATTCCAGACCATTCGACAGTGCAATACCACCTCGGTGTCCTTAAACCTCTATGACAGTTTACAGGGAGCCCTTTCAGTAAAAGGGTATTCTTATAGCGTAATAGTTCATTAATCTGGAGCAAAAAAAAAATTGTGAAGAAGTGAGCCTTCGATGTTTCCATGTAACCGGGAAATCCACAAAGAGAAACATTTAGGATAATAGTGAGCTACATTTCACACGTCAAGCTACTACGGAGCAACGCCCTCTTCCGTAAAATTAAGACTATGTTTAAGAATCAGAACATATTTTGAAGAAGCTGACATATTTCCTGGTACTATTAACAAGTTAATAAACAATGACTGAAAATAAATTAAGACTCACAAGCCACAGCCACACCTTGAAATCAGTTGTTGTTTTCACGAGAGAGATAACTAAAGAAGTTGAAATCATGACAATCCCATTCAACCACCCACCTGTCTAATCCTCCATCTGAATCCACAAAGGACTTTTGTGCTATTAGTTTTTATAAAGGTGGCTTCGAACCTGATGGCCGCTTACGGTACAAGGTCTATGGAACGTTTGTCAAAATGCATGGTATAAGCAGGCATTTTGACCGAAGATTGTTACAGTGCAAATCGCGATTTCGGCCAATATTGAGTAATTATGTTCACAAATTGACCATAGAGGAAGTAGTTCCAATGGCACCACGCGACCTGTTACCTCGTTTTCATACAGTGCGATTACCCCTCCGTAGAATGAATATTTTGGTTCGTTCAATATTAGCAACACTAAACACATTAGACTTATTCTATGACCTAACAGACTTCATTTAGGAAAATACGTTTCATGCTAAACTTTAATGTAAATCCATCACTATGTCCTTTGATTATCATCCCATCCAATTCTATCTCACTTAGTGAATATATTCATCTGTGGATTTAAAATATTGATGGACTAAGCGGTCTGTGTTTGTATCAAGCAATTGTGGGTTAGGTAATAAATGTTTGTAGCACTTACAAACTGAAAATTGTTACCTACAGTTTTTTTTTAAATTACCATTGATATATTTTCACGAAGCATCATTAATGCGTTAAACTTTGTACTCAAAAAAAGCAAAAACGAAACACCAAAATATCTATAATTACATTTCATTTACATTTATATGTTTTATGAATCAAAACAGAAAAATAACAAATCTAAGATCCACTAGTACTAGAATTTTCTACAGTGGAAACAGTTGGAATGATTAACTTCATATAGGGCAAACAGCTTTCAGGAGTTGTAAAATATATTTCATACGTGTTTTAAGTAGGAAGTCACGTTCATGTTTTTCTATTGCTATTTATTCAGTTAAACGTGCATTTCTACACAAAATACAATGAGATACTTTAATTCAAAACGTAGATACGATTCAACCAAAAGCATTCAATAAATGACAATGATTGTAGGTTATTCTATGCTTAATGTCTCTCCCGGTGGGTCAATGATAAGTTAACGGATTTACAACGCTGAGATCCAGAGTTTGAGTCCATACTGTTGACAGAACGCAGCTAGCTCATTGTATGGTTTTGTGCTGAAACAAATAAGCAAATTCTGTAGCTAACATAACACTGGAAGTTACTATTTGAGATACGGTGTATGCAGAGCTGTATTATATGTTACCACTATTACCATATAGACAATTATACGGCTAAATAGGCAAACAGCTATACATAGTGAACCAGTTTGAACACCCACTGAATAGGTGAATGGATAAGATAGATAAATAATATAAAAGGAATTTATGGTTTTGACAGATTGAATATTATTATCCATAAATTTAAAGTGCTGTTCAGCTTTCTGCGTTGTTAGTCTTCTCAGACTAGAATCAGAAGTACGTTTGTTACAATGAAGTAAATTGAGCGAGAACAGACTGTAGACTGGGTTGAGTTTTGAGAAATAAACAGACGAGTTTTCTTCAAGAAACAAGCTCAAAACATAAATAAAATTACGGCTATAACAAAGGATAGAATTTGACATCGAAGGTTCGGAACACATTACTGAACCTAAGTACTAATTTGCATAATTTACCGATGACTTCACCACAACTACTAGCTTATATTTTATTGAAAACCTTTTTTTAGTTCATAGGTAATCCATAGAAATGAAAAAAAACACATTCACATGTAGTTTAAAAAATACGTTATTTAGAACATAAGTCATGATTTTACACTTTAGATAATAAAAGCCAAGCGCCATACTCATATAGCCACATACAGTTAGCTTTTATTGCAAGAGCACCATCTTACGGCCGCTAACCTCAAAACAAATCCTTATTTAACAGTCACTGTTTCAAGTAGGTTAAAAGCCATAGTCTTTTAAACATAAAATTGTTGATTTAAACATACCTAATAAACATAATGGTAAATATACAATAAAAACAGAGTAACACACTAACACTTCGGTTAGTGAATAAGCACGGACCTTCAACTGTAATAAAACTTTAAAGGAGAGATAGTGCAGCTGTGAAAATAATCCCCTGTTTATTAAAATAATGCAGCCGCAAAACTTTAGCGACACAAGTCCTTTCTTAATAAAACTGGTTTATTCTTTCTGAATATAACTTTACCGATAGACTTATTTTCAACAGTCGCGCTATAACAACGAACGTGCTCAACTTCAACAATACTCTCTGACTGCAGATCAATTACTCATTACCTACACACATTGATTCCGTCACGTTGTGACCATCTTATATATACCAGACTACCCTATATCTATT